ATTAGTTCTAACAGAAAATAACAATTAAAATTATTTGTCCAAATCTAATGAATATGGGCAATAAAAATAAATTATCAAAAACTTAAAAAAAAAAAATTAAACGGGGGAATAAACGGGGAATGGACATACCCCCGCTCCGCCCCCTCCCCGACTTAAATGGGGACGGGGCAGGGAATTTCTTAGCGGGGCGGGGAGGGCCCCCCGCCCCGCCCCGTTGCCATCCCTACTTACCTAGTGGAAGTGGGGGTAGTTTGCAATAACCTCCTAAATTCAGTTTTAAAATTAACTCCCCCATGAACGTCTTTATTTACAGTTATCAAAGTTCAATTTAAATAAACTCGACTTTTCCCCTTTTGATTCTCACCCAGGGCACGATACTGTACTTGCACTCCACAAACACTCTCAAATCCATCTCTGCATTTGATCGTTTCTTTGTTTCTTGAGCTTTCTTCTACAGATCAAAATGGCAAGAACCAAGGGTAACAATGACAAGTGAGGCCACGTGTCAAGGACCACAGTTTCAACTAGCCCCTTAACCCAATCGCAGCCGCAGTTTGCCCAACTTCGACTGCACGTTGTAAATATTAGTTTAAATTTGAGTTGTAATTTCTTTTCCATTGTAATAATTTATTTCAATTGGAAAATAGCTCTGATATTGGTAAACGNTGAGTTGTAATTTCCTTTCCATTGTAATAATTTATTACAATTGCAAAATAGTTTTGATATTGGTAAACGTTTAGTATGATTCATCGTCATTTAAACGTCTACTCCTATCACTTAGATTTTTGTTCCGCAAACTATTATAGGAGGTATTAGTCATTCAAAAATCTATTAAGCTTATTACTGTTCGCCCCCTGTACCAACCATTGTAATATCTTGCTTTAATCGATTGTAATTTTTAGCTTTCAAACAATCAATGATCAGTTTACTTTCAATGCATCTCAATTCTATCTTGCAAGCTTTCTACAAATTGTAATCAAATTTTATTTCGCTCTGAAAGGACCGAGAAAAGGCGGAAGGTAGTCTAGCGGAACAGACTACTGAGACTACTATCGTACGGTATCCCTTTCTGTGTTTAGAAGAAAGGCACCCCGTGAAAGTTGGTATCAGAGCTGCAGCTCAAGACCCTCGATAAGAAAGTTATGGATCCAATTACCTCAAACACTATAGAAGTCGTAGATCCTCAAAAGAGGAGCACGAAACAGCGTGTGGATGAACTTGATGAGACAACTACTATGTTGTGCTATGTAGTGGAGAACCTCAAGGAAAAAGTCGATGTGGCAGAGACGAAAATTTGAGAATTACACATCCAACTAGATGAAACCTGAAGGGCTTCCATAGCAATGATTGAAGCTGTTGCTATCATGCTTGATCTACTGGTTGAAATGGAAGCGTTGAGAGCTCAATTACTAGTACTTCAATGTGTGGTTGGTAATGGGCAAGCCCGTGCACGAGATCATATTCCCATGCTCAGAATTTCGAAACCATGTACCTACGGAGGGGCACGTGTTGCAAATGAAGTCAAGAACTTCTATTTTGATATGGAACAATACTTTCTTACGGTTTCGATCGAATAGATTCTTGGGATCTCTTCAAGGAAGCGATCAGATCTCAGTTTTTCCCAAAAAATGTAGAATATCAGGCACGATGGGTACTACGAGAACTGAAACATACAAGCTCCATCAGGAAGTATATGAAAGCCTTTTCAGGGCATATGCTGAATATTTGAGACATGTCGAAAAAGGATAAGCTATTCACCTTCATGGAAGGGTTGAAACCGTGGACACGTAAGGAACTTCAGAGACAGAATGTTACTGATTTGAGCACGACCATGGGAGCCTCCGAATGTTTAAGTAACTATCAACCCGAGTCGAGAAAAGATCAACCTTCGGGGAATAATCAAGCTATTGGAGGTGGAAGCATTATAGACCCAGCTTGAACTCAAATGGGGGAGAACGTTACTCTAATAATAAAGGAAAAGCCTATCAAGGCACCTATCAGAGTAACTTTCAAGAGAATTATCAAAACAGCTTTCAAGGAAACTATAACGATAACAGCAGTAACAATTGGAATAGAGGAAAAGTAACGGAGGGCAGATCTGATGCCACTCCTAAATTGATGTGCTTTTTATGTGAATGACCTCATCGAGTAGCAGAATACCCTCAGAAACGGATGGTAAATGCATATTGTCAACTAGCGGGGTGGTGGAATGAGTTCAAAGCAAGATGTCCCACAAGCTAGCTATCACGGTGAGATCGACTCCAAAGAGGATGAGGATGTAGTTGGCGTATTCTCATATAGGTGCAATACATTATCGCACCGATCTACTAAAAATGATGATGTTCCTTTGAAAAAGAAGATGGAAGAATCGAATGCTCGTATTTGTAGAGCTAGAGGCATAATTTTCATTGATGTGAAGAACAATGGAAGGCCAATTAGGGCTATGGTAGATACTGGTTCTACCCACAACTACCTAGCAAGTACCGAAGTGGAGCGACTCAGACTTGTTCGGGAGAAAGAAAGTGGAAAAGTCATAGAAATCAACTTCACTACCCAACCTATAGCTGGAGTAGCGAAATCTATGTTGCTCAAAGGGGATCCTTTCGAGGGAAGGACAAACTTGTCTGTAGTTCAGATGGATGATTTCAAGCTTTATTTTGGGATTAGAGTTTATTCGGGATACTAAGACGGCAGTGTTACCATATTCCAATTCATTAATGATGATGGATAGTAAACTGCGCGTCATACTACACAAGCTGGAAAGATGGGCGAGAAGAGTATCTTGGCCATGCAATTTGGTAAGGGCCTCAAAAGGAATGAACCCCCATTTTTGTACACTCTTCGATTAGAGGAAATCGAAGAACTGGTCCTATTCCAAAATCAGTCAGAAGGCTTATTAAGGAATTTCAATATCATGCTGGATGAGTTACCAAAGAAATTGCCACTAAGTAGGGTAATTGATCATGAGATTGAGCTTATTCCTGGTTTCAAACCTCCCGCCGGGCACCCTACCATATGTCTCAGCCAGAGCTTGAAGGGTTTCAAAAACAATTAGGAGAAATGTTGGACAGTGGGATTATTGTGCCTGCGAAATCACCATATGGAGCTCCAATGTTGTTTCAAAAAAGGCCGATGGTTCTCTTAGAATGTGCTGCGACTATCGAGCATTGAATAAAATCACTTTAAAGAATAGCTAACCAATATCGATCAAAGTATCAAGTCCCTTCAAACGAAAAACTTTTCTCAAGAGTGGAAACGAAATATTGCCTTGAATTTAATGTTTGAGATCTGGTAATGGTCAAACTTCCAAACAGAAACTGTTATAAAACGACAAGAGGGAAAGACTCAAGATTTGTACCAAAATATATTGGACCATTGCCCATCGTGAAGAGGATTGGAAGAATCGCATACAAAGTTGCACTTTCTTCATGGTGCAAAATCCACAAGGTCCTTTTTATTGGTGTAAATCATACTTTGCAGACAAGGAGGACACATCCAGAAATGAGCCAAAGCGACTGTGTTTGAACTGAGAAAAGCCGAAAAGAAGGTTGCAAAGGCTATACTAGACCATTGTACTATTCATGCTTCCAGGAAATATCATCAAGAATACTTGATCAAATGAAATGGATATAGCAGTGAGGAGAATTCTTGGGAAAGAGAAAAAGATCTTGGAGCCTTCAAATCATTAATTGAAGAATATCATACATTGAGGGCACCGAGGACGTTGCCAAAACAAATGGGGGAGAATGTTAAGGACCGCAACTTCAACTAGCCCCTTGACCCAATCGCAGCCGTAGTTTGCCCAACTTCGACCGTACATTGTAATTTCATTTCCATTGTAATAGTTTATTTCAATTGTAAAATAGCTTTGATAATGGTAAATATTTAGTATTATTCCTCGACATTTAAGCATCTACTCATATCTCTTAGATTTTTGTTCCGCAAGCTATTATATGGGGTATTAGTCATTCAAAAATCTTTCAAACTTACTGGTTTTCGCCCCTGCACCAGCCATTATAATTTCTTGCTTTCATCAATTGTAATTTCTATCTTTCAAGCAATCAATGATCATTTTACTTTCAATGCATCTCAATTTTATGTTGCAAGCTTTATACAAATTGTAATCGAATTTTCTTTCGTTCCGAAACGACCAAGAGAAGGCGAAAGGTAGTCTAGCGGAGCAGACTACTGTCATACAGTGTCTCTTTCTGTGCTAAGAAAAAGGCACCCCATGAAACCAAGGGTAGTCATCCACTACTACAAAATCTATTCGTCGAAATTCACGACAATGTATGCCGGTCACTCAAGCCCAGATGCCAATTGAGCCATTCAATTTGATATTGAAGATGAGAGGTCTATTATCCCATATGATCCTACTGCAACAACCTCTGGTCTAAAATATTTGAGGAGAACATACCTCATGCCACAACACGATGAATCAGGTGACGGAATGAGCCTATTTCTTACCTAGCAGTCAGTACCATGGGTCTGGGAACAATGAAGAAGAATCAGAACATGCTGCAAAAAAGAAGATTAGTCCTGACTCTATTGAGAAGGTTCCAAGACCCATAGAACCCACCGTTGAGGAAAATCGGACTATTAAAACTCATGCACTAGTTTCTAATGAGACTAAAAAATCAAGCTCCAAATTTGAGTGTTCTGGTAAAGATTCTACTGAATCTACTCCACCGCCAAAAAAGGATAGCTACAAAGGAAGGGCAAACGAAAGGTTAGAAAGAATACTGAAATCCTTATTCCAACTTCAGCACCTTTTAGTCCAAGAGGTGGAGCTTACAGAGTGCTTGGTACTCCTACTTTTGATCCAGACCTTTTCAGGTTTGATACATTTACAAGAGGTAGACACTCTGTGACCCATTTAACTATTGCTTCCTAATCCAATGAGACTCTATTTGTGTCTTTCACTGCACATAAAAAATTTCTAAAGGAGTTTACAGTAGTTCTGGAAGAATTTACGAGAGTATGGTTAGATGAATTGGTTGGCTTTCATAGGTTGGAAAAGGTGTCGACCTTCGACAAAAAATTCGATGAGACCATTGTAAAGGAGTTTTACTCCAACATCCCCAAAAATATTGTCAAGACTGGAAACCCTTATAGGTGAAGGACCTATGTGAGCGGTGTTAAGGGATATGTATCCCACATCAATAAATGATGTTG